GATTTAGTGAAATTTATTTTCAAACCAGTGCATTATGCACATACAGATTCAATTTGAGCAATTAAAATTCAATTCCTGCTGGCACAAGATTTATCCCACTTTTGGTGATGCCTCAATTTAAAAATTTTGCAGCAGAGCATATCCAGAAGTGGAATGGATCAAAATTGGCATCACCAGCAGGCATTACACCCACAGGCATATGGCTGAATCACAGTCTGTCACAGCCAGCTAATGCTCGCCTCTGGCTTTGCATTTATGAAGCATTCAAAGCCAATCCAAGTTTAACTACTTTCCTCCCTGCTGACTCGATTTCGTGACGTCACAACAGCTTCTGCAGAGCCGAAACGTTATCTCCAGCCATAAACCTTACCTGAGCCTGAACTGCATTTAAAGGATTTGTTCAGATGGCGTGTTACATAATRATGATGGTACCCTGGTTTGCTTGATGTATTCAGTGTTAAAACGGTGACACTGCTATGACCAATTACAGTATTCATCACTGATGTTTTAGTCCAAAAGGAATTGCTGTCACCATCTGGCATATCCCACAAACGCATGGATCAAATGTCCTTTGTGTGGGTGCATGGAGGACGTGGAAACAGAAGCATCCAAACAACCAGATACAGACCATTTTTGTGAGCATTTTTTTCCTTGTTAACCTAATTGTTTTTAGATTAAAATGCTTCATAACAGAAAAAAATAAAAATCAACTGAATCCGTATTTGTAAGTTTAACGTTGATGATGGTTCTTTTTTACAGTGTGTTTTCCAGCTCTTTACTAATAATTTGCACTGATAATTCTGCACTAAAAACAGCATRTTTAATTGATAAGCTTAAACTCCAATATCAGAAACATTCATCCATTTTCTTTATCTGATTTCTGCTCAAAGAAGCTGGTCCCTGCTTTATACAGTCAGTGGATGAAAGGCAGGAGACTGAACAGGTCACAACAGACAACACTGACRCATATATTGACACTTTAGTTGGAAATCGAATAAACATTCATGTAGGAGGAACCTGCAGGACACAAACAACAAAAATCAAACAAATGAAAAACACATGCTAAGGAAAATACGGGGCACCAAGTATAAACTTCAACATTGAAAAATGTCACTAATACACTTTCATTGTTTAGCTCACTTTCTAAGTGTAAAAATTTAGTTAAAAATTTCCGCTAACATTTTATTATTTAGCTCACTGTTTTTACATTTTGCTATTTTTTTTACTAAATGTTAAATTTAAATGCTACCTAATATTAAATCCTAAATCTAAATTTGCAAATGTAAATGAAGTATTTAAATCTGTGGCTAAATATTAAAGTTTGCGTTTAAATATTTCAGAATGGAATGCAGCCCATTGGTGCATGGCTTTTGTCATGATATCATCATCCTGCGACAAAAGCAATCGCTAATACTGCTAACACTAACACTGCTAACACTACTAACGTTTCCCTACAATGCATCAAACATGTCAGAGCTGCACGCTGTCTAACCACAGATACTATCCATACTGTTTTTAATGAACACATTTTGAATTTAAATTTTAACTGCCATCTTCAACAGCGTTAGCAGCGTTAGTGTTTGCTTTTGTCACTCGTTGATGATGTCACAACAAAAGCCTTGTACCAATGAAAAAGGCTGTGTTCTATTCCAAAATGTTCAACCATAAGCTTTAACATTTGGCTGCAACATTTAAGATTTAATGTTTGCATTTAGATTTATGATTTAATATTTACATATAACATAAAATTTAACATTTAGTAAAATTTTGTCAAATGTAAGAGCAGTGGGATTTAAAAAAAACAATAAAACTTTGGAAATTTTTAAACTGGGATTTGGCATTAAAAATGGAAGCTTAATGATGAAAACGTGTTTTTGACATTTTATTTTTATATTTTTTACACATGGTACCTTATAGGAGAGTATGCAAATGTATTAATTTACCATTTACCAATACGAATATACTATCCATATCAAAGCAAAAACAACAGTGCCAAGTGGAAAGAAAGACACAGATCAGCAGAATAACATCCTGTATGTAAGAAGTAGCAAAAGTAGCAGAAGCTAGATGTGGAAAAACACATTCTCCATCTATTATCCATGTTTTTTTTTTCCAGTTGCAGGCAGTTGGTGCCTATCTTATAGTCATTTGGCAAAAAAGTGGGGCAGACCCTGGACATGTTGCCGGTCCAATAGGGAATCCACCACCCTTAAAAATAATCCACTGCAAGATTGCASAATTCATCTGCAATGGGAATTTGTTTTGGGGGCACCACAATAGTTGCTGACTCTTCTTTTTTCCTAATTAGTGTGGAATTTAAAGAAGCCATCCCAACAGTGTCATTGTTAATTATACTTTTAGCTTTATTGTTGCGGCTTTTTCAAACCCTGAAGAAAAGAACAGATTGCAAACAACACATATTCTGAGTTTTATGTGTTCTCTTGCAGCCTCAAGCTTCAGTAACCTGCTTTATTTGAAATATTCACAGTTTACAGTTATGGTACCAGTTTTCCTCAAGGTATCCACTGCCAAAAAATATAAGTGATTATAATACAAGGTATGAAAATGAAAAAATGTGTTTTTAACCTGAAATAGGTACTAGGAAATACAAAAAAAAATTAAAAGATAGTGTGCCCATTCTTAAACACTTTTCAGCGTTTGCAACGTCTYCCTCTGTTTATTTGGTTTTTCTCAACCCTGGGTCCAGTGTTGGATTTTTTAACATACACCAACATGTAAAACAAAACAAAAAAAACACAATAATGTCTGCCAAGCTGCAAATGTTCTCACTCTTTATCTCTGTCTCGACTTTTACGCTCAAACATGCAAGCTAACACACACACATATCCATACGCCTACACACAACCACTGGTAAAGACACTCTGGCAAGCACTATTTACTGATACGCGGATTGGGTTTAAGAGCGGAACGCTGAGCATTTCAGTCTAAACAGTAAACACTCTTAATTGGATTGTGTGCTTTGATGTGAATCCTCTAAGGACTGTATATTAATAGGACTAATTGATTCTGATACATATTGACACTAGTTTAGAAAATTAGCTCAAAACAAATGTGAGCGGTTTCATCATGAATCTGACTGCGATGCATTAAATTGCAYCTTTTTTGGGGTGGAAATGAGCATCGTTGTGGTGTTGGAGCTCATTTTGCAGTCCAGTGAGGCTGCTCTGGGACTGATACTACAAGGGCCTGCTGCTTGTCACAAATGAGCCCTGGAGGTGTTGATGGGAGGCTACGAAGAGGATTCGTCTTCAGCTTCACCTTGAGGTGGAGAGGTGGTGCACTGTTACCCTGTGACTGACCTTTTTTACCGTCACCTTCTTGCAGAGGCTGAAAGTCAAGTGATTTAACCACATTCACAAGAGGTCTGWGTCAGTCCAGTGTTGTAACTCTGCTGGACACCAACCACTGCCACAGTGTGAATGTGTCTTTTACAGTCGTGGGTATTTCACAAATTGCTACAGGTCAAACAGAAAAGCTTAAGACAAGTTAAGGACAACCATAAAGGTCTAGTTTTCCATATGTTGAACCAAGATGATCTTRTGATGAAAAGGAAATGAGTTAGATTTGCTTTGGTCAAAATCCAATGATTTATTTGAGGGTTTTGACAGAATTTCTCTACTGTTTCAACACATTATGGCCCTGATGGTCTTCCCAGTGCAGACAAACATTAGGTTTTGATGATTTTTGGCATCAGATGGCATGGTGGCTCAGTTGTTAAAACCGTTGCCTCTCAGCAAGAAGATTGCTGGACTCAATCCTGATTAAGGACATTTCTGGGTAGAGTTTTTCCGGGTACTCTGGTTTCCTCCCACAGGAGGAAAAAACATGACTGTTAGGCTAATTGGTAATACTAAATTGTAAAATGGCTGTCTCTRTGTGGCCCTGTGATGGACTTATGAGTGTACCCCACTCCTGGCAAAGTGACTGCAGGACATGGGCACCCTTGAAAGGAAGATTTATAGATAATGAATGGATGTCTTTTGGTGTCACACTCCTCTTGGCAATTATGTGGTGGGGAAAAGGTTTTGATCGAGCAGGTATTCACATTTGGTGTAACATCACTTTAAATTTGACCGTTTTTATTTGCCATGGCACATTTCAAGTAAAGCCTGAGCTTCTAATTAATCAAGTGTGGGATGAGGGCAAAGGTGAATGTGCAATTACAGAATTAAATCAAGTCCCTGTTTAGCTTGTCATTCCTGACAGAAATAATTTTGCTGAATTATTACRTTTTCTCCCCTGCCTTCAACATCTTCATTGGCACCATTTCTAACGGGAAGTTTGAGTAAATTCTGCTCTGTCCAAAGGCAGTCTTGAGCTGTGCAGGTTCATGAAAAACCAAAACAGAATATAGTGCCGATGTGCTTCCCTGTGTTCTTTCACCCTTGAAATGAAAGAGGTCAAACTTAATGAGATCATTTTTTGATTTGTTGTGGTTATGGTAATCATGCAGAAATTATATGTCATTATAATTTTTAGGTCCACTGAATTAGAAAGTTTAATTAGCTACCTGTACTCCTAAAGAGGTGGGGTTACAGCATTACCAAATACAGCAAAACWGATCAGACATCAATTACTCTGACAAAAGATTTGCAAACGTCTGCTGCAAAGTGGCAAGTATTGGCAAATAATCCTGCACAAAAATCCAAAGAACTATGATTGTTTAGATCACAGCACTATATTTAAAAATGTGTTCTGCTTCTCTCWAAGGAGGAAAATAAAAAAAAATCATCTATCCATCCATTATTTTCTGCTTGTTCCTGAGTGGGGAAAAAACGTGTAAAAACAACTTTGTTCTGTTGAATTCTGCAGCYACAGCACACATTTGAATTCATTCTCTGCAGTGAATTTGTTTTGCCAGCGGCTGACTGGATATTCAGAGGTTGGTTTTCGGTCTCTATGACAACCAGCTGTCTGTAATTAGTAAATCAAGCCGGGGTGAGGTTTTAAGCAGTCCGTGTGGCTGCAGAGGAACTCAGTAGTGGAAAGCAGCTCAGTGGATTGTGCCGTCATGGGGCGCACGGTGACAGTGCAGAAATCTGTGTACCTCTGGTGCTTTCTGAGGTATTTTAATTTTGGAGATTTTATTTGRTTTAAAAAATTGTCAAAAAAAATAATGAATGTGCTGGATTGCCTAAAGGATTTTCCCTGTTTTTTTTACAGCATCACTGTGTTCCACTCTGTGTCAGCTGGAGGTGCTTATTGTGCTAAAACAGCAAGAGGTATGTGTGTTGTACATGAACTACAAATGTTTTTATTTCATTTTTTACATGACCAGTTAGAGTATTTTATTTTTTGGTATTTTATACCAGAACACCGCTAGCAGACTGTAAAATGTGTTTGTGTTGTAGCTCGGGCAGCTGCTTTGGGTCTGGAGTATCCAGGAGTCCATGGAGCCCCTGATCTCTCTGCACCAGTTCACCATCATCCTACAACTTTCAGTTATGCTCCATTTGCTGATCCCAACATGGACTTTCGTGTCTACGATCAGCCAAGAGAAAGCCCCTTGGACATAATGTATAAACAAGTGGATCCAAGGAGCTTCCTGCAGGGCCACGGCACATCAGTTCCACGCAGCTATAACAGCTTTCCTAGAGAATTGTTGGATCGAGCCCCCGAGTCCAGTTTTGAAGAGGTCAAGCATGTTGCCCCCAGCCTGTTTGGCGCCATGACTCTGAATCCCAGAAGTCACATGAATTCACCTCCATTTGTCTACACTAAGCATGACCTTGTGGTTGACGAGTCTGCCCCAAATAGACATGGCGTGCCTTCCAGTGGACTTGCCCCACCCCAAAGCCGGGATCACCCTGCTGATGAAAGTAGTCCGGCCAGGAACACCCAGGGCAGACGAGTCCCATTGTTTCATTCGTCTCGTCTTTCGTCAAAAGGTGGAGCGAAGCTTGGAGCTCCCAGGTACGGTCGTTGGAAGATGATTCAGTTTCCTCGTCAACCTCATTTGCAGCTGCCCAATGTGCTTAATTCCAAACCGTTTTTTACAGGAAAAACTATTCTGAACTCTGTAAGGAAAACGAGGCCAGACTTTAAAATTATGTGAACGGGTGCTTGACTCTGCACAGCTGCCTTGTTAGTGTCCTCGTGACAAAAGTTAACAGGAAAGCCATTTGCATGGAGGGGGGGAGAGAGTCTCTTTTCAGAATTGTGCAGTTTTTGTGGGGTGGCTTTTCAGATGAATGTAAAACCTCTGAACAAGTTCATGTATTGTTGCTACCTCACCTGTAACTGCAAAGTGAGCCATGTTCTCTCTTTTTTTTTTATAAAAATAAAATAAAACTACTTCAATTCCAAATGCTTCTTGGTTTCTATTTGATGTATTTCCCCTCTCTCCTTTTTCATAAATGAAACGCTAAGGTCTGTGTTACTAGAGTGCCATCTGTTGGTCCTAAAGGGTAGAAAACATTTTTGGCTCACTATTTTACACAGGTGTTCAACAGAAGGTCAGCCTTGAACAGATCTCTTGGCCTGTTTTACAATCTGTTTCTGAGAACTAGTGCTAATTTCTACAAAAAGCTGTAGTGTTTAAGGGGTGGCATGTAGCTCTAGTTGTGACAAATCTAAAGGTCATCTGTATTTTTCCTTAAACGCTGTTTAAAGCTTAAAATTGAACTAATGCAAATCTGCTTTCATGCCAGAGTCTTAAACACAGACCTCCAAACGTTAAGACATCCAATGATTACTTTGAGAGTTCATTTGTTTAGTGGTTCCTGAGACTTGGAACACAGACACGAGCAAATTAGTGTTCACCTTTCTGCAGTGGGCAATAAAGAACAAGATAAATATTAAAACCTTCACATTGGGGGTGAGGAGTTTCAAGTGTCTTGGCGTGAAATTGACAGAAGGATCAGTGTGTCTTCTGCAGGATTGAGAACTCTACTGAGTGAGCTGAGCTGTAACGGCAGAGCTCTGTTTACTGATCAGTCTACGTTCTGGGCATGAACTTTTGAGTCGTGACCAAAAGAACAAGATGGCGGATACAAGCGGTCAAAATGAGTTTTCTACGCAGGGTGGCTTGACTCTCCCTTAGAGACAGGGTGAGAAGTTCAGTTATCCGGGAGASCCGCTGCTCCTCYACATCGAGAGGAGATAAGATGTTAAGATGGTTCATTTAGGATGCTTCCTGGACGCTTTCCCAGGGAGGTGCTTCAGGYCATGTCAGACTGGGAAGAGACCCAGGACACGCTAGTGAGACRTAGTCTCTGGCGCACCTTGGAATGATCCCAGAAGAGGTGGGTGGGAAAGAGAAATATGGGCCTGAAGCTGCCGCCCCCGTGACCCTGCTCAGAACAAGYGGATAATACTGGATGGATATTAAATTGTGTCTGCTTTTGCCTACTAAGTTTGTGTGTTTTGTGTGTGTGAAGGCAGGTGTGTAAGGTCATCCAGTGATCGACCCCCATAAATCAATCAGTTTGGGGCGGGCAGCGAGCAAGTTGCTTATGAGCAATGGTTTGGAACAGGACTGAGGAAAATGAGTGGCAGAACAAAGTAAAGCAATCAGCTGCGTGTGCGGAGCAGGAAGGAAGGCAGTGGAGCAGCCATACATCATGTCGAACAACAGGACTTCACTCAGCACAGACAAGAAGTCGTGTTCGGCCTCATTTAAAACTGAATAAATCTTGTATGAAATATTTGCTCGTGAGCTTGCAACAAATTGAAAAAAAAAATCTCTTGTTACAATTTTTATTCTGCATTTGTGTTGTGAGACACCATGTGACCTTATATTTATTGAATAAGTATTTGTATGGATTAAAAAAGAGGGTAAAAGGAAAACTGGTGGAGAACAAAGTGGGCCAAAGCAAGCAGCTTCCACTCAAAATGTTTCATTCATGTTGAAATGGCTCTTAGATACCTCTGTTTTTAGTAGAGACACCTTCTGAGTTTAACTGAAGTTCAGGCTTTTTTCACTGATGAACACTGAAGATGTTTAGAAAAAACAAACAATTTTTGCCTGGACTATTTAGAATTTCTTTTCACACACAGGAGATTACCTGCAGAAGAGTCACTCGTGATCTGCCTACAATGTCCAGTAGATCAGGGGTTCTTAACCTTTTTGACCTCRGGGCCCAATTTGTTGAACATAAAGTGGCACGAGGCCCAGTCAGACATTACCAATGTACGGATCAAAATGATAATTATTCTAAATCTTGGTTTAATGTGTATTGTATTTGCATTAAAACTAAATTAAATACACTTACAGTATAAAAGTAAAACTCATTTCAAATAATCACAAGACATAATTTTGACAAACATTATTTTATATTGTAACCTGCCCATGACAATTATTTGTCAACAGACCACTCATATCTTGGTGAAGTGCAAATTAAAATATAGCCGAATCTGCATCATGTTTTGAACTTTTAAAATCAGTATTTTAAAAACACGGTAAAACCAGAAGCTGCACTTCATTTTAGTGACAAACTTTGACATTTTTGATGGGTTGCCTTCATTTTTACCTTTCTACTTTTCATTTACAACAGGTTTCTATGGCTGGGTCCAAAACGGCAGGACGGGTCCTCCGAAGGTCGAATTCGTCGGCCGCATTTGTCACAGCGCCGCGACGAAGGACGTCCAAAACCGAAGACTCCTCCGATGCGTCCGACAAATACGTCCTTCTTTTGGCCCGAATCGAAGGACAGGTCCGATGGATCCTTCCCGGCCCAGCATATCCCATAATGCATTGCGGCCCGACCTGAGATTTTTTTATGCTAGTAATGGCAGATGAAGAGAGAGAAAAGAATATGTTTTAAATAAAAATATGGTGATATAAAAAATTTTTTAAAATTAGCGGTTGTAATTCTAATACTTTTATCATTTGCATGGACATGTTTTTAAATATTATTTTCTCGTCATAAAAAATGCGAAATAAACATGAACCTACAGCGGGTCAATTAGTTCTTCAAATGATACTTTTAAGTTAATTTTATAGTTTTGTGATATTAATAATGCTAATGTATTGATATTTTTCTAGTTTTGATTTAAGTTTGCTTGTTTAGCGTCATCACAGTTGCTGGGTGACATGACGTACGCCGGGGTAAGGAGGGGAGGCTAGACCGTCCAAATTCACAGCCTCTTTTTTTCAGGTCYTCCCTGCTACCAAGGACCCGGCCCGCCGAGACTGGGGAGTCTGGGTCCTCCGGAGGACCCGGCCTGTCGTTTTGGACACAGCCCATTCTTGGCAGGTTCCTAAGGTTCTTCTTTTACATATTAAAAAAGTTGTTAAACATCAGAGTGGTGCACTACCACTACTAGTGGTGCGAAAGTGTATTGCACCCTGTTCAAAATCAATGCGGTCCCGCGGCCCTCTGCGGCCCCAAGTTAAAAACTGTTATTCTTTTGAGGCCCTCAAGGTGGCGCTCGCGGCCCAGCCCATGGGTTAAGAATATCTGCAGTAGATTATGTAAAATGGACACTGAGCTCAGTTTGTTTTAATGCAATGCAACAAGAAGTGTGGCTAAGTGTTTCTTGTGGCTGTATTTATTTATTAACTTATTTGTTTATTTTTATTTATTTTGCTGAAATACATGTATCTGATGAATGATGTAAAGGAGCCAGTAGAAAGCAACATACAGATCAGCAGATAAGGATACAGATGTCTTACCCAGGACAAATGTTGCCAAGAGGTCGAGAGATTACTTTAACATGTCACCCCTACAAAACGTTTTGGAAATAAATTCAGGATGGCACTAAAGATCTGACAATGACTGCAATAAGGCAAACAATTAAAAAAACATCATGCTTTAGAGATATTTCTGTTGTAGGTTTCAAAGGAGACATCGTGCTTTCAAATCCTTCTTTTTCACATTTAAATCATTCAGCTGGGGCTTGCATTTTTGAGGTGGAACTGCAACGTTTGCCCTGACTTCCTCCTAATTTTAACATAACAGCCCCCATTTCACCGTTTTTCTGAGATGTGTCTCAGATCAAGTCGTTTTAGCGCTGGATCTGTAAATGCGAATGAGGTGCTTCACGCCCCACCCCCCTCCAGCTTCCAGACCGGTCCACTGCATACATGTCACCCCCTTTAGATGTTTGCCTATAAGCCTCAAAAGTGCGCAACTAAAATAGCTGAGTTCCTTTAAAATCAAATGCTATCAGAGTAGTTTTACAAAATATTTACAGGTGTTTATGTGAACCGACTGAATCATTTTTTTCTCACACTTCAGTTTTTTTTTTTTCCAAATGGCGTTAACGGTTCTGAAACTGTTCCTCACTGACACCACCACACTTCTTTGTGCAGGAGGTTTTGTTTGCTAGCCAGACTTACCTAGCTCTGGGAGTGAGAGGACCCTTTATCACGTCGGAGCAAAATATGGAAACACAGGTACTTCATTCATCTGCAGTGTCCTGAATAATGGCTGCTATTGTGTGTTTTGAAAGTAGCAAATGAGATGAACTTCTAGCTGCGTGTTGGCAGCAGCCCTCGGCGCATTAAGTAAAGACTAGCAGCAATAATAAATATCACAGCAGACCACACAAAACTAAGCCACACAAGCAGGAGCAGCCTTTTGGCTGCATTTGTTGTTTATTTTTTATCTTTAAATAAAAAAAAGGTGTGGAACTTTTAAGCTTCTTGTTTTTGTGTGTGTGCTTTGACAAAGATTGTTTTGCATATTTAGTCTTCCACTCTAAAAGGCAGAGTATATCCACCACTTTTCCAGAACATTTAAAATTTCTTGAAAGAATATCTTCTGTCACCTTTCACACCAGAGTTTTAGCTTGAGATTTAAAGGAGACATGTCATGTTTTTAAATCTTTATTTTTCACATTTAAATCATTTAGTTGGGGTCTATATAAAGTGGAACTGGAACACTGTGGTTTGAATTCACCATTAATGTAACTCCACAAGCCCATGTCTCCCCCTTTTCTGAAGAGTGACTCAGATTTACTCGTTTCGACACTGTCTCTTTAAATCCAAATGAGGTGCTTCACACCCCACCCCACTCCAGCTTCCAGACAACTCCATTGTACCTTGATAGAGGGGTTTATGACTATATAGAAGAAACTTTTTATTTGCAAATTAATTAAAAGATGTCAACATCTTGAAGACTTGTTCATCCAGCCTTACATGTTGGAGCCAGAGTCTGACCCAGAGCCAGAGGAGAATGAAGATAGCCAAATTGTTGGTGAGTCCAGATCTTATTTGGCAAATACTAGTTCCGAAAAATACAGTAAACTGAACGGGTTGAAAAATGACTCAAACAGAATATAAAGGTACGAACCCAACACCAGGAGAAACTAAATTTCTGCACTCCTATAACTTCAAGTACACAACAAAGTGCATTTAACGGC